GGGGGGAGCGAGATCGCCCATCAATACCGCTTCGTGCTTCGCAAAAAAAGAGGAAAAAAAAAAGACTGAGCCAACCCAGGCTCGCCTGTGCCGGCGCTATTAGTGCCCATTATTTAAAATCTCCCTTGATTAAACTATTAGTGCCCGCGGAGGCACGCAATTTGCATACGATTAGTGCCTCTGCTTGGCACGGAGCCCGTGGGCTTCTCCCTCCCCCACCGGAGAAAGGAAGAAAAAGAAGGAGCTGCGGGATTTGTGCTGAATTAAACGAAATTCGGCGCTGCCGAAGAGCAGCGGCGCTCGAGGCAAGGTTCCCCGTGGGGAGGAGGATGCAGGTGGGATCCAGCTCGGCTCCAGGGAAGCTTCAACCCCCTAAATCCTCCAAGATCCCGCTGGTGCCGGCTCCCTCGTGGTTGTACGGGATCCCCGCTGTGGCTTTTTGTGAGATACAGATGTGAACAGTCTGACAGACTAATTAATGGGGGCTTCCAGGGCAGAGCGGCAACCCAAAGGCGAAGCGGCGCGGAAGGTGCCCACCAACCCGAGCCATCCCTGTGGTTTTCTGCAGTTCCCCCTCAAATATAAAAACCCGCTCAAAGGGGAGCGGCAGCAAAGTCTTCTCCTGATGGAAGGTTCTAATTCGGCCACCAGCCAGGGCAGAACTGGGGTGCTTTATGCCACGGGCTCATGGGCTCCTCCTGCCAGGAGAAGCACCCCCAGATCTCCCTGGGAGATCCCGGAGGAGAGTGAGATGCTTCCTCCAGTTGCCAGGAGCTCCGGGGCCCAAGCTCGCCCCAGCAAAGCGGGCAACAGCTCCAAAAGTTGGATTTGCCACAAAACCAGCCCTCCCAGACCTTCAGAGCCCTCGGCACCGGGCACTGTCCCCGGGGCGCTCTCAGCTCCCTGACCCCACTACTGGATACCCATCCCCCAGCCATTCCCGGAGGCCTCCCAGGCCTCCCCCATAGGAATTTGGGACAAATCCGTCACTTCTTCACCATTTATCACATCTCTGACATACCCAGCTGACTTCCCCAG